ACTGTCGAACTGATTCGTTTCAACATATAAACAGATGACTGCTGACCCACGGTGATAAAACTACTTCTGCTTTTTATTCGAAAATGACTTCGCTGTTTGATTCGCGTTTAATCCTTTGCACGGAAGAGGCGAAATTCTAATTTGATAGACTTGTTGCGTCAAAGCTAAGAAATCATCGAATTCAGAGCAGATTTCCGGATGAACATATATTTTCGTCAGGAGGATCTGGCCCTCTCATGGGAGTTCTTCAGATTGAGGCATCGTCGCATTTGAAACCGCGAGAACAATTAAATGATCCTTGTTCGATGATTAATGACGGCTAACATAGCCTTGTCTGGGTGTCAAAGCTTTCTAATCTTGTGCAATTTATCGCCACAGATTTTCGCATCTTCTTTTAGCTGTTCGTCCCATCAGAGCTATAGTCTTCCAACTGGGCGCTTACAGCCTCTTGGTACCAATCCATCACTACCGAATTTCATCGATCATCTATCAGTCATACCATAAGCAAGAAGAAAATACGTCAGTCGTACGATGTGACGTGTTCATGGTCTTTTCCTATCTTGTGAATCTGATTCTCTACCCTGCCTTACGGTACGCCTCCTTATTTCTTCATTCCACAGCTTGTCCCTGATGGAAATTTCTGGATTCCTTTTTTCCGTAACCCTCTTTTGCACTCGTCAACGCCCATGTCTCACAACATATAAAGCAATCGGCAATATGGTTCATGAATAACCACTATTGAAAAGTTTCTGTTTTTGAGAACGTCAGCATCTTTTCTGCATGTACTCTACGCCTCATGACGGTTCCCGGCCACCTGTGGACCAAAAATGATAATGGTCTGATACGATTAACCGTACCAAATGGACATACTAGGTGATTCCTTCCATTTTTCCATCACTGGTGATAACTTCTGCTGGCATACGAATCTGTTGCTCATCAAGTTCACTCCATTCATCCAAAATCTAATATGCTTTTTCTTTAAAGCTAGTCACATAGCATGACTTCAACCTCTTTCGCCTTCATTCAAAACAACAGATGTCGTTAGCAGATCGAGAGCCATCTGCCATTGATTGAAAATCCACCATACCGTTTCGTTCTATGGAACAATGACTCAAGTCATTATGTAGAAACAGGGTGGACGATTTGGTGTCTTCTTGACGAATTTCATTGGAAGCCTTGACTGAAACAGGATCTTCAAACAGCTTAATCTTCTTAGTTCATCAATGCTAACGTTCAAGCACTTTTTAAATACATTGAATGAAAGTTCCGTTTTTTATTTGCAGGTTATTCTCAAGCATTTCCTAATATGCGTCACATACTAGCTAAAATGAACCATAAACCGTAGCCACAAACCATGTACTTCATTTTCATTGTTTTTTATAAGCGTTGAACCGTTGTTTTGCCTTTATAGGCGTATGTGGCTTGCATCGTACCAAAATCTACAGTAGGATATGTTATGTTCAGCTATGGATTAACGAACATGCTTTTGAGCGCGTTTCTTGGTTCAGCGATGAATCACATCGGTACTGTCACCTTAATGCTAGCCGGTTTCGCCTCTCAGCTGTGCTGTCTGTTCGTCATGTGGATGTGGAAGCCGGTTGGCGATGATCAACCTATTCTTTACGTCATCGTTACGTCATGGAGCGTAGGAAACAGCATCTGGCAGATCGTTGTAAAAAGTATAAAAGTTTTATCGTTTTTTTACACTTTATTGTGTTACACGATAATTTCAATCGGCAATAATTTTACCATTATATAAAATGCTATCTCTTAAATAAAGTAACATTATCATTAAAGCACAACATTTAAACTAACATTATGTTATTATCCTACATTGATAGCATTTCAGTTGTTCAAGTAATATAATACTGCTGCTATGCAACTTGGATACTAATGTATTACTATACTACGTTACTACTTGACTCCAATTGCATAATATACCTATATAATTGGTGTGCTGGCAAAACTGTCTAAGGGGTCTCCTTAGAACTCCACAGATGCGGGGTTTTTTTTCCTGCTTGACGGAAATCTTTATCACATTCACGAATTAATTTGAGCAATGAATTTACCACAAATTGCTGCAGACGGAAGCTCCTCAGTCTGTCGGGTGCCGAACTCAGAAGCGATGGGTCTCGAATTTAAAACCTGATCAGGATCACTCGCTTTTCATCTTTCTGAGGTTGATAAACGAGTATCACTCTGTTGAAAGGAAACAGGAAACTATACGCAACGTTTGCCCTATGCTGTAGACTCCTTCTTTGAAATATAAGGTACACGTGCCGATGACATAGAAACAGTGATTTGC